ATATTCTTGTTGCTCTTTAAGTCTGGCCATCTACTCTGGAAATTTATGGTTTATGATTCGCAGCGGATTTTTTATAGAAAATCTGATTGTTGGTTCATTATTATTAGCAATAAATTTAGTTAATGTTTTTGCCGCCCAACCTAATAATAGACTATGCCCGTGGGCGAAATGGCAAATGAGTTATGAAAAAAGAAATTGGAAATTGTATGTCGAAAGTTCTGCCATTGCCAATGTTAATTTATATATTACTTGGAACACCTTCAAAATAGTTCTCTGGTGAAAATCCGCAGGACAAAATGAAACTGGCAACACATCCATATACATTTCCCAGCTAACTTAGCTAACTACTTAGGGGTTGACGACCTGCTCAGGACAAGAAATGGCCCCAAAAACTGTGCCTACCACAAAAGCATATTCGTGTTGTATAAGTGTGTGAATCAGGACTGTATGTATTACTTTGCTTTTAATTTTCAAGCAAGCCTGTGTCCAATTGCATGCCTATGCATGTCCATCAATAGCATAAGTTGAAATACCAGGATACCTAATGTTTAAGGTGAGTATGTATCGGCCTCAATCATAAAGCCGCTTAGTTGATGTCCTGTCGCATGTCCTGGCCAACTTAGCTGATAAAAACTTGGCAGCAAAAGTCGCAGCCAAACAAACGAGGCGAAGTAATATTAATGTGTATGCCCAAAAAATGTTGCTATAAATAACCTTAAACATGCTCCGTACTTTGTTCGACACACAAGCCTCGCCCTAACCTCACATGCCATATATGGAAGTCTGCACACATACATATACATATGTATAAGTATGCATTATGTATATATAAATGTATATATAATTTTGTGCATGTGTCGTGTATACACGCCAACTTTTGTCTGCAACGAAAATCAAGGAAACAAAGTAAAACCCGCTTTTCGTTTTACTTTGTCCTTTTCCTCAATTTTTTAATATTTTTGTTTTTGTTTGTATATCAAAGCCAACGGCAATTGTGTCAAAGCTACTCGTACTGTATGAAGGAAGCCAACAAAAATTATGCAAAAGTTTAGCAGTCGCTGTGTGGCAAACCTTTTTGTAAGAAAGTAAGAAATATTTCTGTGGATTGTCCGGTTTCGTAAGTTTTAAAAGTTTGTTTGTTCGGGTAGCTTCAAAACTAAGATTGTGCGCTCATTGCTTATATATACTTGGATGTTAAAGTAATTTAATAATACATACAATATTTATTAATACAAGAAAAGTATCTTGAAAGAAAAACCAAGAAAATTGAAAATATTTCTAAAATATATTTATAAATATTGGCAAATCATAATCCAAAAAGAAGACTTAATAAGTTCAAAGTTTAGCCTTTTAAAATGGAACTCATATATGATTAGTTTAGTTTCAGGTATTTATTTTTAAAGTAATGTTTATCACAATAATTTTTGCTAATAGCGTAATATGATTCGCCAACGATAATTACTTTACCGGCAAACATTTTCAAAATTAGAGAAAATTGGATTTTCACTGGGAATTGGCTTATCCAACCAATTGTGCGGTAACCTAGTTCAATTGGCCCTGTATATATAATAATTATATACGAAAATACACATACACATTGTATGTACGCATATTATATGGTCGCAGGTGTTTTCAGTTGCCATTTACTTACATGTGCCTCCATTGCTATTAAGGTTGAGAGTGTGTGTTTCCCTAACAAACGTAATGCCCTGGCAACACCTTGGAGTAGTGAATAAAATATGAAAATATATGGAAACGAAATTCCACAGCTCTTGCAAATTATGTAATTAAATTATGCTGGATTTTGGTCGCGTGTGAATGTTCCATATGAAAACCTTTATCATGTTTTATAGGTTCAAGAAGTTTTCACATCAGGGCCAAGTTCTCGTCACGTCACAATAGTTTCATAATTAACATATGCAAATTTCCTGGAACGCTGAGAAAGTTACAAGACCCAAGGTGTTTCCTTTGCATTGCCCCAACAAATAATTTCAATTATGCAATTTTGTAACTTAATGCTCGTGATAATGATTTTCAGGCCTTACCCAAATGAGAATGCACATATTATTTCATATATATTTTTTAAGGATTTCAAATTCATTTTATTGGTTTTTTTTTTTTTGTATGTTTGTTTTATTTTCGCTTATCTTTTCCTTTGTGTTTGTATCCACCTCTTATTTTTCTTCCATCATTATTAATTATAATTGGTTTATTTGCTCGCAAATTTGGTTTTTTTTTCTTTTTTGTATGCTGGATTTTGTTTAAAGACATTTCATCTTCTTTTTTGTTGGTTTTGAATTTTATATATGTATTTATTTATATACGCACCTGCTATATAAACTTAAATGTATAAACTAAATTAAATAATTTGAATTTTGTTTTTGTTTTTTTTTTTCTTTCTGTTTTTTTATATATGTATTTCATATCAGATTTTATATATATGTATATATATATATATATTTATATTATTATATGTACCTCGAATTTAGCACGCACACACATAAAACAACAACAAAAGTGGCTTACATTTTCCAATTTTTTTTCACAATATTTGACAAAAATGATTTGCACTTAAAATCAAAAGCTAATTGATTTGTTATGCATATCGTTTGCTAAAAAGTTTGTGGAAGGTATACAAAATCATACAGGTAGTTAACATAATATTTGCAGAGTTTTACTAAATAAATTACATAAAATTTTAACTAATCAAAATTGCACAATAAATTATTTTAAATTTACAAAACAAAAATAAGCTAAACATATTCATTTTCTCAAAACAAAAGTTTGACTTTTTCAATGCATATTTAAATACATATGTATGTATTTATATGTATATGTATGTATATATATTTTCAATATATTTATTAATATACTCTTTTTCCTGTTATGTATTAAATTGTTTGCTCAGACTACCATCAACTATTTATATGTTGTGTATTATTTATTAATGCGCCTATTTTATTTTGTCGCTGCTTTGTATGTGTGTGTGTGTGGGTGTGTGTGTGTGTTGTCAAATAAAAATTGTACGATTCTATATTGTGGTTATACGAAAAAATATAATTACACATGTAGAAACAATGTGATGCGTGAGTTGTGAGTGAAAAATTGGTGGCTACGTTTTCTATCCTTCAAATTCAATTGAGGATTACGCAACCAGAAATGAATATGTTTAAATTTAAGTGTTTAATTGATGCCTATTTATGACTTTTTGACGCCATTTCTTATTAATGCTACGAATTTACGCTTTTTTACACACAAATTTCAGTTGGTTTTTAAATGTTTTTTATGTTGTTCTTTTTTTTGGTTTTTTATTTTTATTTTTTTGTTTTCCTCTTTATGTTTTGCGACTTAAATGTAAACATTTAGATTTTATATTTGTTGCTGCGTTTCTTTATTTATTTTGTATGTTCTTCATGTTAATATTTATTTTAGAATTTGAGTAGTTCATGTGGTTCTGGCGCAATTGGCCCTAGATCCTTGCGAGTGATACGTGGATATATGCGCCTGACTTTTTAATATGTGTGTGTGTGTGTAAATGTATGTATATCGTATATATGTATATGTATATGTTCGGTGAGTGCGCTTACTCTTAGGTGCCATTGTTAATGAGCGTGTGTAGTGTATATCCATTGGATGTCGATTAACTCTCAGCTCTCACTATCCACAGTATTTGTTGTTGTATTTGTTTTTGTTGTGAGTGTGGTTATGTGTTTATGTATTTATTGTTGCACGTCGTCGCTGATTGTACAACATTTATAGTACATATGTATGTATATCGTATGTCTAAAACGCCTAAAACATCAAGAGCTAATCGCAAGCTCAGTTAGTAGCAGAGGGTTAAATGGTGTTGTGGGCACATAAGAATTACAGCTTTTGGAAAGTTTTCTTTTTTTTTTGGCGACTTTTGCAACACTAACAAGTGTGTATTTTACTTCGCTTGACAGCAGAACAAAAATGCTCGAGCGTTTGACAACACTTTAATTGTTATTGTGAAAGTCGCGAAACACTGTTATGGCTAGTTAACCAACACTGACCAAAATTGTTGAACTGCTTATGACAACTTTTTTCTTTTGTAAATTTTATTTTCCTTCTTTGCGCTCTACTTTGTGGATCTATTTTCTTTTTTGCGCTTTGTTTGTTTTTTTTTGGGAGATGCTTTTATTAATTCTCATATTTTTACGAATACACAAGAATATGAGAACTTTGCCTAAAGGATTTCTTTATGGCGACTTCAATTTCATAGCTCATGGTTTCTGTCTAAAATTGTAGCTCGCTTTTGGTTTTATTAAATATTTGGTTTTTTTTTTTTTTTCAAGCGCACTATGTGCGCCATAATTTTTTGTTTTTTTTTTATACATTTTATTTTTTTAATTTATAAATTAATAAAGCGTTTCATACTTTCACAAATATATTGTTGCTCTTGCTGTTGTTGCAGTTGCTGGCTGATGTTGCTGCTGCTGTTGCTGTTTGGGTTGTTATCAGCTGAGAATAAAAACAAATTCTTTTGCCCATTTTACCGAAGTTCTTGTATCGCCTTTGTATGGTATTCCAGGCGCATCTGGTTTTCTGCGCTTCTTGCTTTATATTTAATATTTTATGTTTTTTTTGTTTTGTTTTGTTTTTGTTTTCTTTTTTTCTTTCAGTTAAACTAAACTATGTACTTTACAACTAAATATCTGTAGTCTCGTGGTTATACTATACGCTATATGTTATGAATGATTATTTATGTATATGCCATAAAATTTTGTTACTTATTTGTTTCTGTTTGGTTACTCCTCACTAACCTCTCCATCTCCATCTCGCTCACTATCTTTTTCTATCTCCGCCAGTTATTTGTTTAGCTGCGATACGAAATTACATCAAGTTAAATATTATACGAATTTTGTAATATTTGAATTGTTGTGTTGACTGCTGCCGCTGCTGCTGCTGCTTGCATGAAGCTCGTTTAAAGGCAGCTTCGATTTGAGGTGCTGGCTTCAAAATTACGTTCACCAGTTTTCGGGAGATTTTAAGTTGTTCCATTAGTGGTATCCACTGCTGACACATATCGTGTATGCACTGCAAAATATAAATGAAATAATTGGTTAATAACAGTTCAAAGCAGCAGACTTAAAAACTACAACTCTAAACATAATATGCATAAATCATTAGGCGGTTTCTCAGTCTCTCATTATGCATACATTTTTATATATTTCTACCAATCAACGATTTTGGGCAGCCTTGACAGCGAACCAAGTTTGTGCGCCAGCCACTTCCTATTTGAGGTTTTTAAACCCAGTCTGAGACTAGAAATCAAATTGCCATAACTATGACGAGAGCACTCAATAACCTTAAAAGTCTAACCCAAAATTTGATGGGTCTTTGATGGGCTGCACTGCCTTAGGTTTAGTCAGTTCAACAAACATATTGTTGTCATAGTGTTCAAAAAGTGATGCAAAGAGGTCATGGTCATGTTATTTATCTAAATAGATTTCTGGTTAAAACAATAAAACAAACTTACTTAATGAAACATAAAGTGAATGGAAATACAAAAGAGTTCATTCACTTTCCTTACTGAAATCGAATAATATTTAGGAACTTTAGTAGAGAGAAAACATTTTGTATGTGGCAAACAAGATTGTTAAATTAATAAAAGACCTGTATAATTATTTCATCATTGGTAAATAGAAATCAACTCTACTTTCAATAAACAAATGGGTGGACAGCTCTGAGTATTTTACAATAACTGACAGCCAAGGCCGGCTTACAATTATTTCTGTAACTCAAACACTTGTCAGAGTCAGTTGGCTTGCCAGCTGAAGCGTTCAGAAGCTTGAGCCCACTATTTAATTATTGCAAGTATAATTTTATTACGTTCAATAATCAAAAAGTTACAGCTAGTACCTTTTTCTTGATAAAAATAATAATACATTTTTCCTTGAGATTATTTTATTTTTTTTTGCTAATATAACATTGAATTGAATACAGTGGATTGACTATAAATTAAAATAAACAGTTATTTTTGAAATCCACTTTAATTAAACAATAAATAAAACTTGTATTGTTGTAGCATTGATAAAGCATTAAGTCGTTTAAAGTTAAGTTGAATTGCAACTGCTGCCTTAGGCAAAAAGATTAAGACTCAATAACTGGTTAGGAGCGCAACTTCTAAAAATATATTCAGTAGGTTATTGGTTTCAAACTTCAAGAACAAGCCGAAATAATTAAACATTATTAACTATGAAAATTCGATAAACTAAGTTGATGGCTTGTTGGTTATGTCAGAAATATGTATGCCACTTCCTGCATATGCTCGTTCAATGTATTAATTAAACATGAATCATCAGTTCATTCGCAAAACAACAAACACTATTGAAACCAAATTAGCCATGTAACTGAGCGTCTAATTTGCAATACCTTTCTCACATTTCCCATTTCTTTCTCACTGTTGCACAGCTGGCATGTGAATGTAAAAACTTTTATAGAGTGTGCTTCTTATCAGCAATGCCGCACACTCCAAACAGTCGCTGCCATTTGGGTGCCAATGACGTAAGCAGCTGGCAGCAGCAGCAGCAGCAGCAGCAGCAGCAGCAGCAACAGCAACAGCAGCGTGCTATATTAAATCTTTTTTCACAAAATCACATAATACAACAACAACAACAGCAACAACGAGAGAAGACCAAAAACAAGATAAAAAAAAAAAGACAGCAAAAGTTTTGTATTTTCAGGCGGCGTTTTATCGCTGAAAACAAAAACCGCCAGTGACCGAACCGGCGACGGGTTGTTGCCTGCACCCACGCAACAACATCAAACAACAACAGCAACAACAACAAAGAGAGCTACATCATATACCAAACTGAATAATAGTGAGGCGCAGAGATATACAATACCACACACCTAAACATATATAAATATATCTGATGTGCTCTATGCCATTGAATAGTGCAGCGAGCAACAGATCAGTTAACTCTTCTAGTTGTTAGTTGCTGTACTTGTTATTGGCTGTTATTGTATGTGGTATTACATAAGCGCCATTAGCCATTGTCAGTTAAAATTACGTGCGTCAGATACAATTAACTACTTTATGCCCATATTGGATACCAACTCCCAAACAAAACTTTCACATGCTAAGTGATTTTCTGGCCTTGAAATGTCATAACGTCGACATATTGGTAATAACCTAGCAGTGTGCAAGATATGAAAGCCTCGAGGAATACAAGGAAATGACGATCATTAGTTGTTATAGAAAGTCTGTGCAGACCGCACTGTGATTACCACCAACTGGAGTGCTTTGTGTGTGAACTAAACTTAACTGAGCTAACCTTATAAAAATAAAGGAAGTCTTATCTGAGCTATCAGCATTTCCGCTTATTTTTATAAACTTAGTAGATCCCTTAAAAATGTATACATTTTTTATTGTATGTATAAAATGTACAATTATATATAATTATGATGATATATTTTGTAGACAAGATCCACATATCCATAATCTTCATTTGGGTAAATCTATTATAAATGATCTCAGTATTTTGATTTATTAAAAGATAAATGTAATTACAAATTAAGTTAGTTTTTTTCTTATCTCAATATGAATTGAAAGATAGGCTGGTAGATAATTTACTTGATAGTTGAAAAGTTTTCACAGAAATAGTTGGTTTTTATTTGGATGACGGCAAATTTTAAAATAAATATGAGCTGAGTGCAGGGAGTTTCCCATTGATATCTTAACACAGCAGCCCTATCACAATTTTTACCACAGTGACCCAACTTTGATATACATTTGCTCGACCTGACAGCTTGGATGCCTTATCAAAAGCGAACAAGTTGCCAAGCAACTAGCTAACTAGACTCAACTAGAGAATTAACTAGGAATGAATGAAAAATGAATGTGTGGGTTTGGGGGGGGAAAAAAAAGCCAGACATACTCTGATGTTGTCAGCATCGCAGTTTTTCTTTTTTGCCTTTGTGCATTTTCAATAAGGCCAACTGACAGCGGAGAATTGTCCCCCTTCTTTTTCTATATTTTTTTTATTATTTTGTATGTCGCACTCAGTCCGTGCATATTTCATGAAGTACAGAAGCAAACTGCATTTGAAAAATGCGTAATTAGCACCTGGGGAAAATAAACAACTGTACTGACTTAACGGGACTATTGACTACATATGTTTTCATACACACACACACACACAGTATATACATAAATAAAGATAACGTCAAATTTACATGGGGAGGGGTGGGTGTCTGTGCTTGTTCAACAATATGCATGAATATAAATAAGCTGATCATCATATATCATGCGAGGTTCAATATATAAAACGTTCAACAAAAGAGCGTGAAAGCTTGGAAATATGTAATAATTAGTGCAGAGTAGTTGTACTTGAAACATTTTACAGCTCTAGCATTCTATGAATCATCTTCTAAATAATTAAAGGCGTTTTCCAGAGGTTACTTAGTTTAAGGTCATTGACTTCAGACTACAGTCTAATTAAAAAAAGAAAACCCTATTTTAGTGGTTAAATGATGGTCGCACCCTCGAGCAACTTTAAGCTTCATACTTTATGATTGTTTGTGACTGTGCAAATGAAATGAGCTGAGGAGCTGAGGAGCTGAACTCTGACGACAGACAGACAACAAATGGGCAGCCGAGGCGACAGTTGGAGAAACAGCGCCGAGAGACAAGCCACAGACATCAGGGGCTACGACCAGACAGTCAGACAGTGAGACAGTTAGACAGTCAAACAGGCAGACATATGTATCTATTTGCGAATTTGCCAGCAACAACTGGGCGAATACAAATTTGTTCATTTCATTTTCATAATATTTGCGTCTATATCTTGTGCAAATATGTATCTAGAGTGTTTTGCTTCTAGTATACGATATTCCGAGCCTGTCCACTCGCTAGCTCGCCCGGCCTGTTGATTTATTAAAATGTTGTGCGGCCGGCCAAGCGCCGAGGGAGATTGGATCGGGATGGGGAAATGTGTATGCTTTTATAAATTTGTATTAAGTTTTTGTTTGTGTGTGTGTGTGTGTGTGTGTGTGCATATTTCTTAGCTGACCAACAGCATTGCTTATATAATTTAATTTATATTCATATGCTGGGCGCATATAGTGTTTATATATTGTACAAGCAAACATATTTTTCTACGAGGCACAAAATTGTTGTTTATTAAATCAGCAACATATTTGTCATTGCCTCTAGGTCAAATATGTTGCAAGAGATTCGCCAGAGAAGTGACACATAATATTATTTGATAAGTTCGCTTTATACGATTTGTTTTGTTTGCAAAACTTTCAGTTTCAGCAAATTTTATTTTATATTGGACTTAGAAATATGTGCTTGAGGCCATTTAATTATTAGCAAAAAAATAACAACAAAAAAGTTTGAATGGCTGCAATACTAAATTCATTTTATTATTGTCAAAAAACAGAAAAGTTTGAATGTCTGCATCACCAAATTTCTGTGTGTCCCAATGGGCATAAATCTAATGTCCAATTTATATTCAAATGCATCTTTGCAAGACGAGAAAATAACGATTTTCCATTTCTAAAAAATACAACTTTATTGCAAAAAATACATTTTTTCCATTACTTTGTGCTTTGCTTTAAGTAATTCTTTGAAAACTCAAAATTCACACTTTATTGACACTGGATGCAAATTTGCATTCACCCAGCGTTGATGAACGCTCTTTTGGCCTTAGCGACAATGACTGAAACAGCATTCCGAGCTTATTGGGACCATTTAAGAATGTGATTTGAGTTCAACAAACGCCAAAAGATCTGTAATTCGTTGAATTTGATTCAGTTCTCAACTGTTTTCCAAGCAGTTGATTGTTCTCACACTTATTATGGGCTGTTCAACGCTTTGAACTCTCAACTGTTTTAATGCGACGACAAAAGCGATATGGGGGCGTGGCCAGGGGCAAATGACAATTATAAGGCGTCCAATATCGACAACATCGACAGCGTGGAAAACTTTTGCGGCAAGGCAACTGTAAAAGTATATCTGAAATACGGCTCTGCCATCGTATCTAATGTCAATAAACTTGTTGGCTTTGAAATTTAAATCAATTTTCGAA